TAATAACTTAATGCAACAAAAAACATCAAAAAAAAAATAAAAGAAAGGCCAAATATGGTGGCTCAAGCCTGTAATCCCAGCACTTCGGGAGGTCAAAGTGGGTAGACTGCTTGAAATCAGGAGTTTGAGACCAGCCTGGGCACTGTTTCGAAACACCTTCTCCACAAAAGGATGCAAAAATCAGCTGGGCATGGTGGTACATGCCTGTAGTCCTAGCTACTTGAGAGGCTGAGGTGGGAGGATTGCTTAAGCCCAGAAGGAAGAGGTTGCTGTGAGCTGAGAAAGTGCCACTATACTCCAGCCTTGGTGACAGAGCCAGACTCTGTCTCAAAAAATAAAAGACAAAATTAAAAGAAATGGCAAATAAGGAAAACTGCCACATAGCATGGGCAAAAGATCAATATCTTTAGAAATAGAAACGTCTTAAAGTCCACAAGAAAAAGATGGATATTTCAAAAATAATTACAAATGGCCAAAACCTGTATGTTCACTCTCTAATAGCCACAACAAAATAAACTATTAAAATAAGATTTTTACCTATCTAATTTTCAATGCATTTAAAAAAATGGTAATACTTATTGCTGGTAGGGATTCACTGGCACTCACTCACACTTATGTTGGGTACATTAAATTGGTACAGATTTCTAAAGGACAATCTGATAATCAGCAAATGCCTTACTCATTTATACTTTGGAAATAGTTTACTCCAACTGAGCTTTTCATATTAATTTATTTTTAAATAAAGGTAGTTAAAATAAAGAAAACTAAAAGATGTTATTATGGTTCACCTAAGCTATGGCAAAGTTCCTCCAGTTCCCCTTTTAAGAAAATTGAAAGACCAGCCAAAAAAATCAAAGGGAAACATGTTGACCTCTTAATGCTCCAGTGAATTTAATTTCTTAGAACACCACAGAATCATGGCAGCTTTTCATGATGCCAGAAGGTAAAGCATGGGGAGAATGTAGAGGTAGAGTCTTACTTTTTTGCAAATCCTACCTTCTACTACAGGGAAGAAAGAAGAGGCACCAGCTTCTTCTCAAGCAAAGGAATTCAGTGTAACCATATTAAAATTTTAGCATTTTCCTATAAAATTGATTCAATCTTCTTTAATTAGTGATTTAAGGTGGTCTAGGTGATGCTTGATTCAAAGCTTTTATTTTCACCAAAATAAGAATTATTTCTTCAACTTCATCCCTGAAAAAACAACACAAAAACAAATTTCTCCCTTTAAAAATGCAATGTATGAGGGAACAGTGGTCAATTCAGAACCTAATCATCTGTTGTTAATCTAAAACAAAAGCTTTACCCTTAAGCCAATATCTAAAAGTAGCATAAAATACAGAGAGATGCTGCCATCTCCAATTAAGTATAAAGTTCAAATATAGACCATTAGTGGATGTATTCTGGCAAATTCTAATGTGAATTACTGTAAAAAGTAGAAGACCATAAGTAAGTCTATCATCAGAAATTTTAGTAGTGCTGTGTTGCTATCAGCTTTTATGAGACACTGTGGTGGGAGCAATGGTGGGAGCGTATACACACATCATGACATTAGCAAATAATACAAATCTGAGCCTTTATTTTTATATTATTGAAGGGACTTGGTCTTGCTCTGTTGGCCAGACTGGAGTACAGTGGCACAATCAGAGCTCATTGCAGCCTCAACCTCCCAGGCTTAAGTAATCTTCCCACCTCTGCATCCTCAGTAGCTGGGACTCAGGCATGTGCCACCATGCCTGGCTAATTTTTTAATTTTTTGTTCTAGAGACAGGGTCTTGCTATGTTTCCATTTCCCAGATTGTTCTCAAACTCCTGGGTTCAAGTGATCCTCCTACCTCAGCCTCCCAAAGTGTTGACATTACAGATGTAAGCCACTGTGCCCAGCCAAATCTGGGCTTAATAATTTTTTATGAAGAGGTAGTTAATAGGAATATCACTGTGTTTAAGCCCCTGAACATCTGGTGCTGTGAATGAAACATTCAGAACAGACAGCTAGCTACTGCTGGATAAATACCAAGCTGTAGACCTGTACTTAACAACTGTTGAGTCTTTAAAAATGGTCAAGAAAATTAAAAGCACATTTAAAAAGTGCTTAATAAAAGGTTTTTGATTTATAGTTTTAATTCTATATTCCCCTGTGCTACAGTTTTTTGAATGTGTTTAATATGGGAGAGATTTATGTTTTAAAATATGAATATACATAAGCCAGCCCAAAGGTCACCACAAAAATATCTACTAACCCTACAGTATCACAAAGTCTCAACATATTTTTAAAATTATAGTAAAAATACAAATCTTTCTAAAAATTGCAGAGAGTATACAGAATACTTGAACTATGTTTATAGAGGTGAAAATAAAATATGCATTACCTGAATTCACTTCTAGATAATTTATGTGCAGACTGCAATAAAAACTTAATGAAGTTTCCTAGCTGTGGAATAGATGTCCTCATGGCAGAATTTTCAAACCAGTTTTCTGGTAAACATGCTGCCACCTGTTAATCAAAACACATGGCTGGTTTACAAGGACAGTTATCTAAGAACTCTTGCTAACAGAATCTCATAGTGATACTGCAAGCTGAGTATCATTCTCCCCATTTTGTAGTTTATGGTTAAATAAAAATTTGTAAAAATTTCCCTTTGTGTTAAAGGCTATGTTTTAAAAATTCATTCTTTAATGGTAAGAACTTAAAATATACTACTCTCTATGAACATTCCCTAGAAGTGCTAGTAATTTTATACTCTTGTATTTGTGAGTCATGAAATCTGTACAAAACATAATTTACAACTAAAACCCAGAAATGTCTAGACGAAAAATATTTGGTCAATACAACTCTAAAATACATACGTTCACTATTATTTTATAAAGAAACTGGGTGGCCTAGCAAATGATCTGTATAAATTAAGAGTTAAGGAATCAAATGGAAGATATACAGAATGAAAGAAATTAATTATGGTTATCTCCTATCAATTTACAACATTGCTTTAAGTGTAAACGGCAAAATGAATCAATGTAGGTTCATTCAATTTTTCTTTTGGAAATAGAAATTACATTTTATCAATGTCATCCTAAGAATAATTTAAGGTTTTGAGAAAAGTTTTGAAAGAATGTTAGAAAAATGTTAAAAGAAAAAAAAGCTTCCTCATAGCAGAACCAAGAGAAAAAAAGAGAGGGAAAAGGGGAGAAAGGAAAAACTCATTGTTCCCTGAGAGAACAATGTCTGGCTGCCTGTTCTTGAGATCCAAAAACAAGATGCAGACAATGGGGAAAGAAGGGAGTTTATTTCTGCAACCAGTTAGTTACAGGGAGGTCTGAGTAACTCACGAGACCAACTCAAAGTTATAAGCTTTTTTCTAGTGCTTGTATATATTTAAAGCCCCATGCTACATGTGGGATTGTACCTGCAACTGGGAGTGTTTCATTCAATCTCTGTCTAATCTTTAAAGGGACTAAGGTCTGGAAACCTTTCTCTAGTCTTGGAAAGTTTCTTACGACAGAATGAGGTGTATGTGTAAGAATGCTTTTATTATTCTATCAGACTTTAGGGTCTGAGAAAACCCAGGCAGGCTCTAATGGGTTGGTTTTTGCATTCCAGTTCTTGTACTCAGGTACCAGTTTCTCCAGTTTTTTAATGTTAGCTTATGGATTCATAAAAATTATAGTAATGGGTTTGTGGAAACCGACTGTTCTGTTTGCTAATGGAAACATGGCCTGCCACAATATCACACTGTTCAAAGAAATTCCTAGACAATCACACAGACTATGCTACAGTTGGTAACAAGAAGATCAATATTTATAGAAAATAGAGAGTTGGGGAAAAAATTAATATGCACCCTATATATAACATAAATAAAAGTTCTAGAATGTGCTCTTTCTAAGGTTGGTCGGCATTTAAAACATGGTTGAGGAAAAAGACTTATTCTATTCCTTAATCACCTGTTTCAACTATTCAGGAAAAATACAGACACACTGACTGCCTAAGGCAGAAGATCCTACAAGTTTTGTTATACAAACTATCTCTTTTTAAAAGTTTTAAAACCAGCCTTTACTGGCTTGGAATTCAATGCCACTTGCACTTGTTTTCCTCTTGTTTTGTATCACAAGTCTCAATAAAATTCTCATTTAACCATTTAATTTTTCCATTAGTGATCCCAGCACTAAAAATCTATTTTCTTGGCCTGGTTTTCTAACCATATGCTGTGGAGAGAATGCTGTGTAAATATATTTCTTCTTCTCCACTTCGTAATAGACCCTATGGTCAGAGGTGACTAAACTAAACCTGAACAACATAACATGGATGATTATTTAAAATTTTAATATGTAATGCTTAAAACTGTATGATATAAAAACTATAGCCAGAACAATCATGGTTGGCTAATAATTGATATATAGTTTCATGGCAGGCTAGATTTCCATTAGCAACTAGAAAAATCAGTTTCCACTAACCCTTTTCTGTAATTTTGATGAATGTGTAAGTTAAACATTAAAGAACAGGAGAAATTGGTGCCTGAGTACAAGGGCTGGCTGGAATGCAAAAACAAACCCATTAAAACCCCGCCTGGGTTTTCCCAGACCTTAAAGTCTGATCAAATAAAAGTGTTCTTACACATACTCCTCGTACCAGGGCCCACTTAAGATTAAAAAACTTTCCAATACTCCAGACAAAGCTTTCCATACCCCAGAGCCTAAAGATTAGATATATACTGAATGCAACACTCTCAATTGTAGGTGCACTCTCACAAGTAGCATGGAGCTTAGAATGCATACAAGCGCTGAAAAAAACAAACTTGTAACTTTCAGTTGGTCTGGTGAGTTACTAAAACCTTTTCTCTATAACTGGTTGCAGAAATAAGCTCCCTTCTTTCCCAATCTGTCTGCATCTTGCTATTGGACTGTGAGAACAAGCAGCTGTACCCTATTCTACCTGGGAACAGTTTTGTGTGTGTGCATGTGTTTAAATCATATTATAAAATAAGTATTTCCCTATATTCTTAAAAATTCTTCAAAAATGTAACTTTTGTGAACCCGAAAGTATCTAAGACAGGTCCTGAGATTTATTTTCCTTTCATATTTTTATCTTATGAGAAGACCATCATGTTTTTAGGGATATTTAGGTATTTCCAACTATTTTCTATTATAATAATGCTATAACAATATTCTTTATACTTAAAATCTATATGTGCCTCTCTAATTTTTGACTTAGTTTTGCAAAGCCAAAGAATATAAGCTTAAAAGTTTTGTATCCATCATGCCAAAATATTCTTCAAAAGAGCTGTATCCTTTCTTCTACCAGTGCAGGAGACTTTTCTAGAACCAGTGCACTGCATACTCTAGATGAATGGTGCCCCTGCAATGATGGACTAATTGTTTTCCTCTGTTTATGATAACACTGGAAATTATAATTAAAACAACAGCAAAAAAATGTTTGCCAACACAACTCATAAATATCCTTATTATAAATAATTTTCATTTCTCTGATTATTAGTACTATTAATTATTTTTCACATATTTTAAGGTTAATTTTACATATCCTTTTAGGTGACTTGACTGTTGCACGTGTTTCGGCCATTTTTAATCAGAACATTTGAATTATTTAGTAATTTGTAAAAAACTTTTTTATTTAATGTGAATATTAATCTTTGTTACATGTTAATAACTTTTTATTTCCTAGATTCTTAACTTTTCTTTTTACCTTTCTATTACAGAAAATTTCAAACATAAACATGAGTAGAAAGAATAGTACAGTGAGCCCAATGCACACATTCCCCAGTTTTATGTTTTATTTCCTTTTTATGTTTTTTGATCCACTGAAGTTTTATATTTTTTGTCAAGTCTATTACTTTTTCTCAGAATTTCTCCTTTTGTCTTTAAGTTTAGAAGGAACTCCCTCACTCTCAAACACAGTCATTTACCACTCAGTATATTTTACAGTTTCATTTTTATATTTTTAAAAATTTTATCTGAAATTTTTATTGGTGTGTAGTTAGAGGTGAGGATCTAACATTCTTTTCGTAAACAGCCAGCCATCTAGCATCATTTATGACGTAATTTTTCCTTTTCAAACCAGTATAGTATTTCTTAAATGTGGAAGAGGTGCTCTGGATTTCTAGTTTGTTAAATTCATTTGTCTATTTTTATATGAGTACCACACATTTAATTATTTTGCTAACTAATAGATTTTAATAGCTAATTTTTTTTAGAAATGATAAAATTAGAATCAGTTCCTACACAACTTACCTGGTTGCACTTTTTAACCACATCTGGCCCCGGTGTGGCATTGAGAAGAGCTATAATAAGGTAACGATTTAGCAGCTTCCCTAGTCCTAGTTCTTGCAAGGTGTCATCTGTAAGAAGTCCATTCCAAAGAAGAATATTGCGGAAGAGCTAAATTAAAACATCAAGTAAACATGTACCTTTTCTCCAAAAAGAAACTGTAATAGTCTCTAACAAACCTAAGGAGTTGGTCTAACTCAAATTCTCACTACAATTAGCCCTATTGGAACTGTCGAGTTTAGAATAGACCATCTCTAATAAATACTTGATTCTTTCCAAACTCCATGTATTTGCTCATCTTATTTTCATTTTCTAAGATAACCATCCCCAAGTCAGTCTCAAGTAACTTCACTAAAGCCTTTCCAGATAAATAATCCTCCTTCCCAATCCATTTTCTCTCAGAGCCAGGGGCCATCGAGTTTAAGACCATAGAACCACATAATTCATAAAGAACTACTGTCAAAACTGGGGACAACATTACCAACATGTGACCTTGAGAAGGCAATCAATGCTGAGAGTTTCACTGCTCTGATACATAAAGATTAATAATCACCTGTGAGTTTGAAGATAATGTGGTTTAAGTAACCAAAACAAAGTCTTATAAAATAAATATTGGTTGCCCTTTCCCTCTGCTAAATTCAGATCTTTTTGTGAATTTTATGGTATTGCTACTTACTAGTTTTACGAAAATGTAATATTTTTTCACATTTTATCTATTGTTGATGTTGTTCCCTCTTACCAGAAAGCCTTTTCCCCTATTCAACCCATGACAAATATTAATTCACACTATTAAAACACTCTTGCTGAGGTCACCTATGTCCTTCTAATTGTCAAATCCAAGAAACATTTTCAGTCTTTCTCTTAATTCTCTCTGTTGGCATTTAACACACTTTTCTTCATTCTTGAAAATCTTTCATTTAGCTTCCTTGAGGCCATTTTCTTGTGATCATCCTTAGGCTCATAACTGATTCTACAGTTTCCCTGAAGCCTCCATGTTCTCTTCTGTATTTCCCAAGGTTCTGTCCTTAGCCTACTTCTCATGCTTCATTCAGTCTCCTTAGAGCTTGTCATTCATGACCATGGCTTCAAATATTGCCTACAGGTAGTGGACTCCCAAATCTCCGGCTCAGATCTGTCTCCTGAAATTCAGACGCATGTATCCAGCCACCTCCTAGAACTCTGTATCTCTATTCGTCCCAGATATATCTTCCCTCAATCAATTATCAAGTCCTTTCAAAGCTTCCTTCTAAACATTGTTTGAACTCTCTTCTCCTTCCCATCCCTACTGCCACTGACTTAGCAATAATTTTAAGGCCAGCGGTTAGACAACTATATATAGCATGTGGGTTAAATCTAGCCTGTTGCCTGTTTTTTGTAGGACCCGTAAGCTAAGAATGGTTTTAACATTTTTCAAGGACATTTTAAACCTGTCTTTAAGCAAAATATTTTGTACCATGAGAAAATTACTTGACACTCAAATTTCAGTGTTTATAACTTTTATTCAAACATAGCCATGCTCATCTGTTTATGTACTCTTTTTTTTCTGCTACAGTGGCAGAGCTAAGTAATTTGATAGAGACCATGTGAACCACAAAGCCTAAAATACTATTTAACTCTTACAGAAGAAGTTTGTTGTTCTTTGTTCTATAGTAAACAGGATTTTTACAAAATTTGCCTTTTCATTTTTGCAGTTTTTGCCTACCTTTAGGCCTGACCAGAACTGTCTTTCTTGGAACTTTGAATGTGGTGATGTTTTGTTTCCTACAGCACTAATTAGAAACAAAAGAAAGAAAAGGGAGAAAATGCAAAGGACTATTAGCCTTTCAGAACCAGAGTTTAAGATCAGATTTTCTTTTAAACCAACCACTCTAAACCTTAATGGAATATAAACAGAGATTGATGATATCCACTGGAATTACAAATGTATGCATACTCTGCCCAATGATCCCATTTATCAGAATGCCTCTTGTAGATATACGTGCACAAGTATAGAATATGTCTATAACATTGTTTACAACATCAGTGATGATAATAGTTCACCACTCCCATGACCATCAGTCATAGGACATCTAAGTGATGGCAAACTTTGCAACTTAAAAAAGAATGAGGAAACTGTACATGATAGATGACATATAAAGAAAGATCTCAAAGAGGTACTAAGTGAAAAAAAGGTACAAAACAGATTACAACTGTTAAGAGTATACTTCCTTTGCTGTAGAAAGGAGGGTAATATAAGATTATAGCCTATGTAAGTACTGCTGTTTGCATGAAGAAAGCCTTGAAAAATAAACAAAAATTACTCAAGGTGATTATTAATGCATACACATAGGTGAGTAGAGGGAGAAGGGCAAAAACTGAGTCAGAGGTGGGAGTAAAACTTTTAATTTTAATATAAATAATATTATTTAATATATTATTTTAATAAAATAATTCATATTTATAAATAAATAAATAAATAAAATATCCATTCATACATCTGAATCATGTGAATGCATTACCTATCTAAAACATTACAAAGCAAAATTTACCATGGCAGAATTTTTACATGTAGGCATCTCATGACTCAAAATAAATCAGAAAGCTTTGAGGTTCCTTTTTTCCCTTTCTATAAAGCTCCTCCATCCTGTCAGTACTCACTGGATTGCTACAGTTCATGCATCATTATAACTGATGCCTTCTAACCAAATGTATGATCATACATCAAATACTACTTGTTTCATAATTTAAAGTGACTGTAGAATTTACAGGTGCAGTTTCTGGTTCCTCAGCGTTGTGCTTCCTCTGTGCTAGGTATTGCTGTTTTCTGAGCACTCTCTTCATCTCCTTAATATCCTGTGAGGTAGGCTTAGTGCCTTATTTTATCCTTATTTTATAGATGGAAAAACTTAAAAATATCTACTAACAGTGGACTTGTGCTCTTGAACTTGTGCTCTTTACCACTCTATGTCACCTGTTATGTTCCTAGGATATATGTAAAACCAAAACCAAAATCAACCTAACAAAAATACATCTAAGCACCAAGCATAAAGTACAGCATAAAGTAGGTAACTGAGAAATACTTGTTGAAATCTCAATTTGCATCCTCATAGAATATGTGTACACGTTTTGAAAACACTACAATTTCTTTTGCATTACATTCTTAAATCTGTATTCTATGATCAGCTATTTCAAACAATCTAGAAATTAACAGCTCTTACCTCTTTGGATACAGAGGAATAAAGATATCATCTTCTACTGCCCTCTTCATTCTTGAAACAATGGATTTAAGTAAATTCTATAATTAAAAATTTGAAAAGCATCAGTGATAGTCAAAGGCAGAAATGTATTTACCAAAAAAAAGTAATTTTAACAAGAGTACAAATTTGTCCACACTCACAGAATCGGCTGTTATAATAACTATCAATTGGGTACAAAAAAATCTTATTTATCCCTGTTGCTGCATATGGCTATAGTTGGATCATTTTCACTGCTATATAGTATTTTGTTGCATGAATACTACTGATGGAACACTTAGGTGATTTCTGGTTTGGTGGCTATTATAAATAATGCTGTCATAAAAATTCTCGTACATGTCCTTTAGTATGCATGGTCATACATTTTTAATAGGTATATATATAGAAATGGAATTGGTGGAGTATAGTCCATGTCCATACATTCAACTATGTAAAAAAAAAACAAACTTGTTTCTAGAATAGTGCTATCCCATTGACATTTCTGCCTATAGTATAAAAGAAATCCTGTTTCCCTACATACTTATGATAATTGGTATTTTCTTGTTTTTTAATGTTTGCAATTGTATAAGTATGCACTCATATTTCACTGTATTAATTCTCAGTTTCCTGTTGAGTAATGTGCTGTTGGGCATCTTTTCATATTCCTATTTGCTACTTGGCAAGCCCTTTTGCAAAGTACCTAATTAAGCTGCTTGCCAACATTGCTATTTTTTTGTATTAGGTTCTGTCTTTTTATTATTTTATTTTTTGATTTATAGAAGCCTTCCATATACTCTAGCTGTGGGTCCTTTGTTGGTTTGTCTTGTGTCTTGTGACACAGAAAATCCCCACTTAGGGAACTACATTTTGTATATTAAAAAAGTAGAAATGACCAAAATATTCAATCATAGGGAATTTTAAAGACATGTTACATCCATCGAGTGAATCTATCATAAACTTTAGCTGAAGTTTATGCTGACCATAGTAACAGACAACTATAAATATGCAATGAGATAACGTTAGGCAGAGGCAGTATACTAACTTACGTGCCTATTAGGATTGTAACTTTGATAACAGAGCCTGGATGAAAATATCCTATAATGGTATTAGTCCTTATACTAGGATGAAAAGATAATGAATGTTTATTTTTTTCATGTATTAGCAGTATTTCTATAATGATATTCTCATTCTTAAAAAACTTCAAATTTGAAAAATGAAAATGGCATATTACACACTAGAGTGAAAGTTATTTTTTAAGTCAATGACAATGCATACAGCACAAATTCAGCTGTCACAAACTGTATACTAACTGAATTATCCATAGATGTGGAATTCAAATAAATATGCTTTTCATGAAAAGCATAATGAACTGAAATTTTCTCTTTCCACTTAATTATCTGTAACATATTCCTCAAGTGCCCATATATCAACATTTAATTAATGCTAAAAATAAAAACTCAGTTGTATTTTACTCCATTTCTTAAACATTCTGAATTCTGTCAAAAGAAAAAAGATCATTTTCTAGACAGTATCTCTAAAAAATAGTATCTGAGCTTATGTAACTTATTTAGTTAGATGTTTGTGCTAGAAAAAAAAGCCACTTCTATTTTTTCATTTGATTTTAATGATTTTGAATGCCAGCCTTGGCAAATATTTCCATATTGTTTAACTTTTGTTTCTTAAAACAATTCCATTGAAAATGATATAAAGAACATTATTGAATCAACTGGCAAAAGTGGAATACGAATGACTGAATGTTGTTAAATTTACTGAAATGGCTAACTACTCTGGTTATAAAACAGAATATCCTTGTCTCAACAAATATGCAACTTGTTCTCAGTATTCAGGAGAAAAAATATTGTATGTATATATTTAAAATGGAAGGGTTAATGATAAAGCCAATGGGGCAAAATATGAAGGACAAATAAATCTGGGTAAAGGGAATATGTAAATACTACTCTTATACATGAAAGTTTTCTTTCAAAGTATTAATATTTCCAAATAAACTGTTTAAAACAAAACATAAATTCACTGGCCGAGTGTGGTGGCTCACGCCGGTAATCCTAGCACTTTGGGAGGCCGAGGTGGGTGGGTCACTTGAGGTCAGGAGTTTGAGACAGCCTGGCCAACATGGCGAAACCCTGCTGCTACTAAAAATACAAAAAATTAGCCAGGCATGATGGCACATGTCTGCAATCCCAGCTGACTGGGAAGCTGAGGCACAAGAACTGTTTGAACCCAGGAGGCAGAGGTAGCAGTGAGCTGAGATTGCACCACTGTACTCCAGCTTGAGTGACAGAGTGAGGCTGTCTAAAAAAAAAAAAGACAGAAAAACAAAAATCCCACAGAAATCCACATATTTTAAAACAGCGAGCCATTAACTTTTCTAAGTATTAAATAACATCTTTTGTTTGGTGGAAAATAAGGTACTCCACACTGTTTTAACAAGCATTCTGAATCACATGTTCAGATTCACACACAAACCCTTTGTACATATATACACATATATTTTAAAACAGCTTTAAAGGGGCACTTATGTGTGATGCCAGTGGTTTTTATGCTGTTCTGTATATCCATGGAGGTAATCTCAGGATGGCCTAGACAGATGTTGGGGTGGTCAGGGAAGAATAAGGGCAGCTGCTCACAACAGCAGGAGCAGTTTTACTTCTGTGTGTGTGAATTTACGTATCCGGTTGTGTAAGATGTATTTGAAATAGGTTCTGTTGATAAAAAACAAAAAATGAATTTGAAAACCACCAATCTATCTGAACACCCAAGTGATGCTTAGACTCATTTTCACATTTCTACTACATGGTCCATCAGCCAGGTCTAAAAGCATTTGCTGATAGGGAATCATTATCTCCTGCGGCTGCCCATAACTTTGGACTATTAGAGTTCAGTTAACAATGAGAGTTAACAAATTTTTCTCTCCTACAGCTTCCAATTCCACTCCTTGGTCTTGGTTTACTTCTTGAGATCATGCAGAATAGATCTAGCCCCACTTCCATATGACAATTCTCCAGATTTTAAGATTAATATCACAGTTTTTTTTTTTTTTTTTTTGTCAATTTTTTGAAATTTGCCTTTTTTTGCTCCTGTTTAATTCTTATTTTTTTTTTTTGTTCTTTCCTTTTTCGAATTTTTTTTTTTTTGTATTTTTATTTTACATTTTCTCTTTCCCATACCATCTTAAGACACTCTCCACTTAACATGCTTACCCTGAGAATTAAATGCAATATTCCAAGGAAGGTCTAATCTGTGGGTATTAGCACCAAATATGCCATTCTTACTCAAAACAGCACACACATACTAGGATAAACTCCCATTTATCTGTTTTACTGTTACTCAAGTGACACTGCTGACTCACACGGGGTTTATGTTGATTATAATCTGTCTTACCTATGTTGCTTCAAAACTGTCTCTCTCCCATCTTTTATTTACACAGTTGAATTTTTAAACACAAGGGTGGGACATGCATTTATTTTTTCATTCTTTCTTTTGAGTCGGTCCATTTTCTAAAACCTTTTGACATCTTGGATTCTAATTCTACCACCCACAGGTCTTACAGAATTCTTAACTTTTTGTCACTGACACATTTTATTAGTATGTATTTTACCTCCTTATTCAGTTCAACAAAAATATTGAACAGGGGGAAACTGAGAAGACATCTAATACTAAGAGACTCCCCATAGGTAGCCACTGCCCTACTGGTCATTACTGTTTTAGGTATACTTAAGCTTTTATTTCCCCATTTAATTTCTAAGAATAATCATAATACATTACATTTGCTTCAATAAACAATGTTAAGTATCATTTGTATTTGGGAATCCTATCAATGACAGATTATAGTGATTACTGCTTTTTTAATTTACTCATAATCTACTTCTGTAATAATTTACTTTAGATTTTCAGTCAGAATCAAAACTATTATTACCAGGCATTAGCTTACAGCATTTGCTTCTAACTTTGAAAACAGAAACTATGTCATCTGACCCAATTTCCGTTCTTGAACCTGTCTCATTCTCTTCTATCACTGAAAAAATACAGTGATCCCCCTGGTGAGCTGTCTCAGCAACCTGGGGCATTATGTAGTGTAAGTGATTCTCTACCAGGTGCCATTTTGCCATCTCTAGGGAATACCTGACAATGTGTAAAGACACTTTTGGTTGTGAAGACCAGGATTGCTAGTGGCACCTAGAGGGTATGAGTCAGGGATGCTGCTAGGCATACTATAGTGCACAGGACAGACTCTCACAACAAAAAATTATCTGGTCCAAATACTGTACCAATGCAGAGCTGAGACTGAAAACTCTGATGTAATCTATTCTCCTAGGCATGCAAACAACCCATTTTCTACATTCATAGCAGAGGGGTTTCAGGATAAAAACATCCATTATAAAAACTTCATGAGTGAATCCATAATACTGCTGAAAGGCTTCAGTGATTACAAAGAACCAGGTCTACCATGTAGTACTCAAGTATTTTACAAATGACTTAGCCCTTCTAGGCCCCAGCTTCATTTATAAAATGCAATTAAAATAAATACATCTCATAGGGTTGTGTGGATCAAATGAGACAATGTGAAAGTATTTAATAAATGGTAAAACAAAATGATTTACATTTAGGTCGTAACTAAATAATCCTGTATGAAAAGCAAATATATAATTATACATCTGCTTCTTTATAGCTTTTAAGTACTAATCTTGGTTCTATGCTGTGTAACAACACAGAATAAAACTATTCCTTTTTTGAATACAAAAACCATCTCTCTGTATATCTTCTTTCAAATTAAATATCTCTAATTCCTGTAAAAGTTTCTATTTTACCTGAGTTTTTATCCTATCGGAGTTAAGTAGAAAACACCTTTCTATCTGTTGTCACATTTTGAAATCCTATGCTTTCCCTCAAGCCACAGCTCAAATGCCACTCGTAAGATAAATTATTTTCTTATCCTCACTGCTGAAGGTAACCTCTCTCTCTTGTCTCTCCTCTGAAGACACAGTACTTTTATCTATGCTGCTCATGGGGAGGCAATGTGGTCGGTAAGACAAATTTGGGCTTTCGAGGCAGGCTATTCAAGTTCAAGTCCTAATTCTCATTCATGGTAGCACTGTGAAAACTAGATTTCAAGATTCATTTTCTTCATCTATAAAATGAGGCTATCATCCATTTTTTTTTTTTTTTTTTTTTTAAGAGACAGGGTTTTGCCATTGCCCAGGCTGCAGTGTGGTGGAACAATCATAGCTCAATGCAGCTTCAACTCCTGGGCTCAATGGGGAGCCCAGCTAATTTTTATTTTTATTTTTTTGTAGAGATGGGTCTTGCTATGATGTCCAGACTGGTATTGAACTTTTGGCCTCAAGAGATCCTCCTGCCTCAGCCTCCCAAAGCACTCAGATATACAGGCATGAGCCGCCATGCCTGGTGATCACCCATTTTTTTAAACAGGGCTGCTGGGATTAAGATGACAGGTAAGATGACGGATTAATGTGACCTAGTACACAATTAGAATTAAATAAGTGTTTATTATCTTCCCTACTTCTCCTTCTCACTTCCTGTTTTAAATTATAGTTTCGGTACATCTTACTTTCTCTGAGATTACATGCTTCTTGAAGGCAGAATTGGCTGGTATCCCTTTTCTCCCTTTCATTTCTTACAGATTTCTTCCTTTGTAATCACAATTCCAAGGGCTAAAAACTTAATGTGATCATAATATGAATATGATATGCCTCCTTGCTTTTTAACCACCTCTGTCATTCTACTGTGGGCATTCTCCAGTCTGTCAATTTCTCCTTAATTTCCTAAAGCTCATTCTAAAATAGGTTTACTCATAAAACTGCATGAATTTACAATTTCATCAATAAACAAACAAAATACCAGAATGAAAGAATTAGCAGATTCTCAGCAAGATCTCTCTAAAAAGTTCCTTGATACGTCTTATGTTCAGTGAACTCAATTCTAGGTCACTGTAAGATCAAGATCTGTCCTAGTAAGCTTTGAATATTAAAGAGATTATTATTATTTGGCAGATTACAAATAACTAGTTAATATAATAAGTGTTAGTCTAATTTTGAAACTGTTATTCAAGCACGGCCACAATGCCACTATATTTTTGCCAAAAGAACAAAGATAATGAGTGTTGTTTTCCTTTAGAAGAAATGAATTTGCACTATGAATTTACACCTGTTCATCTCTGCAGGGCCAGTGTATATTCATAAACCTAAAAGATGGCTGCCTTTACCATAAGAACACAAATCAGATCACCGAACAGAGAAAAGTAAGCTAATAGGAATGGAAGTAGTAATCTGGGCCTTTACATGTATGTGTATATTTTAAAATGATTACCACTCCCATCACAGTGTTCAGAAGTATCAAGGTATATTCTTTCATCTTATTAAAAAGAAGAAAAATAATCTAGTTTTTAAAAATTTTTTTATCTCAGTGCAGTCTGAGAAAAAGTCTAGTTTCTATAAATCAAAAGTAAATATGTTTTTCCCAAAACAGTTTTCTGCTAATTACTTCTGCATCTTTTATAAACAAAGATCTGTAAGAAAATAATAATGCTTTACAGATACATCATGGTGTTCACAGCTCTAGAAATTATTACCTGTTTGCTTTTACTAACTTCATTTTCACAAGTGGAATGTTCTTCAAGAATCACTTTGCAATGTGTTATTAAACTTGTTGTCTGTGAGGTTGACAAAGGATCCCAAAGGAATTCTACAAAGTCTGAAACAAATATTTCAGTGGTGCACAATTTATTTACTAGATTGTTTTGCTTCTCATATACAAACAATCAAAACCTAACAAACACTACTTCTCTCCTTATTCAGTTTAAGATCCATGGTCAATTATTACCATTACATATTTGCATACATTCTCAATTTCCTGGTTCTTTTTGGGCTTTGTTAAACTCCTCTGACTAAACTACAACTCTCTATAGTTAGGTTTACCTTGTCACTTAGTCTCTGCCTGCAACTGAACAGATAAAAAGTGGCTGGGAAAAAAAATCACATTACCTTGATCACTATACAACTTGAGCAAACCTCTCTCTATTTCAGGTCCATTCATTCTCCCACTTACCTAGATGATTACTTCATACCTTCTCCCTTCTCCTTGATCTCATTCTCGGTTGATGGACTTTTTTCTTCTAGATGATTATTTCCTACTTTATTTTTTTACCTTATTTATTTACTGTCTTGCTTTCTCTTTCAGCTAATTACTTCCTAATTTGCTAAGAAAATAGAAGCAATCTGAAAAGCAACTCTCCAAATCTCCTACCACAGCATCTACACACCTACCTGCATCTGTGCCCATATGCTCTAATTTGTCTCCTATTACTATGGATGAGGCACCCACCCTGCCATCACTTCAGGCAAACTGTTTATTTTGTGCATGAGATTCCAACCTTTTGGCTTAGTCAAAGATCTTGTCCCCAGAACTCTGTCCTTACACTTTGGTATTGACATCATTTGGACTAGACTTTTTCCAACACCCTACAAATAACTATTTATTTTGTATGAAAAATAATCCCCCTCTTAGCCCTACTTCCTCCTCAAGTACTGTTCCATTTCCCTGCTATCTTTTACAACAAAATCCCCCAAAGTACTGTCTAAACTTCTATCTCCAATTTCTCTCTTCTCATTTTGTTCTTGATTTCCCTTTAATTAGGCCTTATCTCTTACCAGTTCACCTAATGTGCTTTTAGCAAATCACAGATGACATTCACATAGCAAACTCCAATGATTGACTCTAATCCTCATCTGACTTATCATCAACTCCAACAGTTGATCATTCTTTCTTCCGAGAAACACTGCCTTTACTTGGTTTCCAGGATACCACGCTCTTAGTTTCCTGCCCACCTCTCTGGTCTTTGCTGTCAGCTTGTCACCTCTGACTTCCAGGTGCTACAGTACCTCAGGATTCAGGTCACTTACCTTCTCTTTTCTATTTACATTCACTCACTTAATATTTGACTTTACGACTTTAAATGCCATCAATAAATGTCATGTGGATAAATTCCAAACTTATACTTTCTGACTGGACCTCCCCCTTTAAGACTCAACAATTCAACAATTGACCTGACATTTCCACTTAGATTGCAGTTACATCAAACTCAACATGTCCCAAATGGAGCTTCTAATATAGCTCCCCCCAGTAAGCTTACTCCTCTCAGAATTTTTCATTTTAGGAAATGGCACCTCTGTCCTTTCAGTTGCTCAGGCCAAGGCCCATGGAACCATTCTTGATTTCTCTCTTGCTGCACAACCCATCCATTAGTACATTCTGTTAGTGCTATCTTTGAAATATACGTAGAATTCAACCACTATCGGGATTCAATCTGTGTTAATTTCTCACAAAGCTACTTATTTGTGTGACGTTTCATCATAAGTATTTAGATTACTTTCAGCAGAGTGCTTAAATGAGGCACATGTACTCTATCATTAGTAGAGCTAGTTAAAAACAGTAACTTTCTAATACACCCCACAACTGCACCATAGGTTCATTGAAATAAAATCTTGAAAGTTTTTTTTTTTTAATTAAAAAATTTATAAATAGAGATGGGGTTTCACCATGTTTCCCAGGCTGGTCCCAAACTCCTGTGCTAAAACGATCCTCCAACCTCAGCTTTGCAAAGTGCTGAGACTACAGGCATGAGCCACTGTGCCCAGTCAAAATCTTTTAAAGTTTAATCAAGTTGCTTAAGAAGCAATTATAAGGCTGACTGGTTCAGGCTTCTAGGCTGGGCATGGTGACTCACCCCTATTATCCCAGTGCTTTGGGAAACTAAGGGGAAAGATATTTTGAGGCCAGGAGCCTGAGACTAGCCTGGGCAACATAGCAAGACCTTGTTTCAAAAAAAATCTTTTAAAAATTAGCTGGCTGTGCTAGCATGGGACTGGAGTCCCAGCTAATTGGAAGGCTGAGGCGGGAGGATCACTTGACCCCAGGAATTCAAGTCTGCAGTAAGCAATGTTCATGCCACTGTACTCCAGACTGGGTGACAGAGGAAGACTGTCTCAAAAATGAACACACAAAAAATTAATAGAGTTGTGCAGTCTTTGCTGTCAAACTTCTTTCTCAGTGACATAGTGAAACGGATCCTTATCAAGTACACAGGTAAAACAAAAGACTTCACTTGTCTTTGCTTGCCTGAAGTACAAGCATTAATGTTAAGTGCTTATAGATGCTAGTGGCAGATGTAAGTGGAATGAAGCAACTTTTTTGTTGTTGTTGTTTTTCAGAAAGAGTTTTAGCCTTTGTCACCCAGGCTGGAGTACAATGGCGCGATCTCAGCTCACTGCAACCTCTGCCTCCCACGTTCAAGCTATTCTGCCTCAGCCTCCAGAGTAGGATTGCGGCGCCTGCTACCACGCCCAGCTAATTTTTTGTATTTTTAGTAAAGATGGGGTTTCACAATGTTGGCCAGGCTGGTGTCAAACACCTGACCTCACGTGAGCCACCTGTCTTGGCCTCCCAAATTGCGGGGATTACAGGTGCCGGACACCACATCCAGCCAAAGCAATGTTTTTTAAAGAAAAGGAAAAGAAACATGATGAGAGAAGTGAAAGGAAAAAGAAGACACATGTAGCATGGATGGAAGTGTGCTAAAAAATGACTGAAGCAGCCAGGAATGCCACAAACACTAAATTGACTTTAAATACTAAGTGAGTAAATGTAAATAGAAAAGAGAAGGTAAGTGACCTGAATCCTGAGATACTGTGGCACTTGGAAGTCAAAGAGGTGACAAGCAGACAGCAAAGACCAGCGAGGTGGGCAGGAAACTAAAAGTGTAGTATCTTAGAAGCCAAGTAAAGACAGTGTTTCTAGGAAGAAAGAATGATCAACTGCTGGAATTGCTGATGATAAGTCAGAAGAGGATTAGAACCAGTATGAGTATTAGCAGTTTCGTGGCCAACAACCCGTACAAACAAAAAATTTTTAACCAGCTTAAATTTGACATCTGTTGATTTTTACTACACATAACATTTCCTTGTGTTTAAAAACTTCTGAAAAAAAATTTGTGAACATAACAGAAGGTAACAATACATACTCTGTTAAAAATAATTTAATTTTATCAAGGTTACAATGCAGTACCTGTAAGTCGGGGAACAATTGTTTTGTTGATGATAGTAGACAAGATTTTTTTATCTGAACTACTTTCCTTCGTTGAGTCTTCTACACTGTTATCCATAAATTCTTCTACAGATTTGAACCACGGCATCTCTTTTAAACCTGTGGAATTCAACTTACAAAGAAAATTATAGAAGTTATAAAGAAACCCTTCAAAATTAGTGTATTTTAAAATAGTTAATTTTTTCAATAATTACCAGAGCTTTTCTAAAGATCAGAAGAGATTAATTCACTATTGTAACACTAGACCACCAAGGCTAGGCAGGATGGCAGGACAGCATGACTGAGACAGGGTGTCTAAGCAACATAACAAAAAGCTGCATTTCATGCATTCAATCACACAACAAACACTCAACAACTACCTAGTGTGTGCCAGAGCCTTTAGAGCCTACCACATGGCAAGTAGTCTGCTAGGAGCAAAATATACATTTGTTAGGCACTTGAAACAGTCATGGAATTTGTTTATTTAAAAAAAATCCATCCACTTCAAGCAAAGTTTATTTCTGGCCCCTTCAATTCTCGTAAGCATAAATATGTAATCTGTATGTGATTTAAAGGTCCTGTTACACAGTAGGCAGTTGCTGAGTTCATATTTCTTTTATTTCTTACTGTAGACAGTCAAATTCAGTGAATTGAGTTTATATTTCTTAACTTAGGATCTAAATATCTGTGCAATTTCTAGCTCCTGAACTAATATTTCTCCCTTTATGCCTTTATGAAACACCTTTCCCTTTCTGTCTCATCCTGTTTATCCCATAAACCTTTCAAAGTCTTGTATTCAACCTCCTCAATGCAACCCTAAGCAATCCTTTCCAGTATGTCAACTCCAACTTAGGAATTCTTGAAACAAGGCTTTTATATCTACTTTCCCTAAACCCAACAGTACCTTATACTTTTTGGGAAGATTTTAAATTTAATATACAAGAAGCTAAAAAAAAATATGTTTGCTTACTGATGTTTAGTGCTGCCTCAGTCTAAAAATCAAGTGAGAGCCAAGAATATAGGAATGTAGCTTAAAGCACACATTTTCTGACTATTGTTCCAAAGCTCTAAATTTCAGCTCCATCCCTAAGGGTAAGGTATTTAATAGTTAACATAACACTAAGGGAATTTAAGTAACTAATATAATCAGGATAGTTTTTCACATGTTAAGTATAAATACCTTAAGAGGATTCCAATCAATCAACTGAACTCGTATTAGGGGATTTAAAAGCTTCGGTATGCATAAACTAATAAAAGCTTCATAATAGGAGTCAGGAAACTTTTCTCGCCATTGCTGAAATTTCAACAAAATATTCTGAATGTTACAAAAATCATCATGCACATCTTCAAAAACTTTCTTCTGATCCTGTAAAATGTCACCTGTAAGCAAAATAAGTCTCTTTACCCACTTTAAGTTGTGAACTTTAAGTCTGCTTCCTTAAAAACACGGCCATGAAGGACTGCAATCAATTGAGCTAAAATTTGCCCTTTAATAGTAACATAAACTTTTATTAAAAAATCATTTTAGCAACAAAGTAATAATATCAACACTAATAAAAGCTACCATATATACCCCTGCTATATGCCAACAGAAATATATTTATCTCATTTCACCATCATAGCTATCTTTCCTACCATACAGGTATAGCCTACCTCTTTACAGACAAAACAACATCAAATTTAGGGAGAACAAGAAATTTGTCTAAGATTACACAGAATAAAATCTCCCTTATAATCCAAATTTATTTAACTCCAGAGTCCAGAATCTTTCAACTATATGCATCTTATCTTCATATCATGCTAAAAAGATGAGAAGATACTTTCATAATATTTTAAATTAAAAATAATATACAAAGTATGTGTGGTAAAGAAATGAAGATGTTCATTAATCATAGGAGAAAGTCTAACAGAAAAAACTATGAAGATGCAAGAATACTCACAATGTCCCTCCTTCATTTTACTCCATTTTTTCAGAGGTAGGAAAAGAGTGTTACAGAGGAAAAATATGTTTTATTTTTCCTGAATTTGCCGAGCTGTTTCATATAGATTATTTACTTATTAAGGGCAATCACAGCAAAGTGTTTCTCATAGTCTCAAAACTCAAACCATGATATATTAGAAACTTGGTAACTGACCTTGGCTTTTTTGGAAGTCTATCATCTCTGCTGAAGACAATTCATCGTCACTAGATGTTCCTTCCTGATGGTTATAATTCCCAGAAAGCACCCTTGCTTGTTTTCTTTTTGTCCTATATTTTTCGACAAACCAAAGATAACAAAAAGTAAATAGCTCTTGCTGAAAATAAATGCTTCAAAACAAATTTTTTTACCTCTTGCTGAAAATAAGTAATTTTATCATTTATTTTAAATGGCTAGAAATATACTATCATATCAATGTACAATTTTCTTAATATTTTTGACATTTTTAGTTTCATTTGAATTGGTGGTTTTCCGTTTTTTTGTTTTTGTTTTCTTATAAGACATTCCCATCAGCTATCCATATTCTGAAGAGGGGGCAGCAATATAATTAGGACCAGTTTCTAGTTACGAGCAATCTCCAGCCTGATAAATGTCATTTTACCGATTCCTTTTAACTGATTAAAATATACCAGCATGTCTTTAAAGCAGTCAAGGATAGTTTTATTGAATTTTGCTTTTCTATTATTCTCACAAATTAATAATATACATCAGGTATGGTTAATGATACCATGTGGTTAATTATATTTAAGTAGTGAAAAGTACTTGCTCTATGATGCTTTCTTTAAATCTTCATTTTATATAGCTACCTTCGAGATTCAATCTCTTCTAAAATCCATTGAGTTTTTTCATCTACTGTGAAGTTTCCATTTGTGGATGTCTCATCTTTGTCTGTTAATAAATAAAAGTGACTTCATACTACAAATTCTCAAAAGAAAACAGTGAAATGCTTTGAAAATGAAGGTAATATGGATGTATAAACATATATGCATTTGTAAATATACAAATATACTAAAATTTTGCAATTTATTATGCTATGAAATTTCAATGTTAACTCTTTATTGCAATATTGACAGGCATGAGGTTCGTTAGCCTAAAAATGTACTTTGGCTGGTGAATGTTTGGCACTTGAAAACAGTGACAAAGTTCTTCCACAAAGTTTCGTTTCCTCAAATTCTTTTCCAGTAGTTTTTACTACTTTTTTCCATAGCCAAATGCAAGAAATATTGGCTTTACCAATACAGTAGTCCCCTCTAATCTGCAGGGCTACATTCCAAGAACCTCAGTGGATGCCAGAAACCACACATAGTGCCGAACCCTATTTGTTTTTCCCTCTATATACATACCTATGATAAAGTTTAACTTACAAATTAGGCACAGTACAAGATTAACAATAGCAATAAAGTAGAACAATGGAAACAATATACTGCAATGTAAGTTATATGAATGTGGGGTAGCTCTCAAAATATCTTATTGTACTGTACTCATTCATTTTTGGGCCACTGTTGACTGGAACTGTGGAAAGCAAAACTGCAGATTAGAGGGACTACTGTATTCTAGTCACATTATTTCTTATTTTAATATATGATACTATTATTTACAATCCACTAAGGTCGTGTGTTTCACTGAAAGTCACTTTGCCTTTGCATTTATTAGCTACTTGGTTATGGTCTTTCACTATCTCCTGATAGCATCTTAATCAAAGGAAGATATCTCTGAAAGTACAAAACCAATGTGGGGAAAAAAAAGGAGATATTCATATTTTATATAATGAGATCCTAAAGATAAATCTATATTGAAACTCACCAGAACCAATCTTTGAAAGGGATTTTAAACCATTAAGTTAGATTTCTGATAGACTTTACAGAATTACATGAACTTATCTCAAAAATTCATTAAATGATTATGTAAATATTTTGCCTGAAATAGTAAATAATAGGAAGTAATGTTTATTTTTTAGTCTTAGACTTAATTTAAAACATTATTAAGTCCTATTTCTAAATATGTTGAGTTTTTGGAAGTTGGTGGGTAAAGGGTTTGAGGGAAAATACACACAAAAAATGTTTATAAAAATATTTGTATTATTCACATAATTTAGCTTAATGAATAAAAAACTGTATTGAACATGAAAAACACTAACGTGATAACTGTTGTAAATACGTTGATTCGTGTTTTAATTCATCTTGCCTGCGTTTCATAAAGGTCATAGCTTGTCTTAAAAGGAGTGCATGCATGGATGATTCTATTTCTTGGATGTTGATAATCTGAAATACATATACAAGTAACATTTTGCAGGTAATCAGTAATAAAATATATACATATATATGTAAAGGTAATATTTAGAAGATACATAAGCATATTTATACGCTCAATTCTCATACAAAGAAACATTCCTAATACTATCACATTTCAATTATAAAACATTGTATGCAGCATACCCAGCTGTTAATACTTTTAATATTAAAAATCAGAAAACTGACTTAGTCTACCGGAACTGTTATAAATATCAGAGACAGTGAAACCAGTTGCAGGCCAGGTGCGGTGGCTCATGCCTATTATCCAGCACTTTGGGAGGTGGGCGGATCACTTGAGGTGAGGCGGCCGGGCACTGTGGCTCATGCCTATAATCCCAGCACTTTGGGAGGCCGAGGTGGGTGGATCAAGAGTTCGAGACCAGCCTGGCCAACATGGTGAAACCCTGTCTCTACTAACAATACAAAAATTAGCCAGATACAATGGTGCCTGTCTTCAATCCCAGCTACTCAGGAGGCTGAGGCAGGAGAATCGCTTGAATCCTGGATGGGGAGGTTGCAGTGAGCTGAGATTGCACCACTGCATTCCAGCCT